ATACCAAGTTTCATAAAAGGCTTACTAGTTTCATAAAAATTTATCCTCCACTTTGATGCCTGCTTGACAGATGCTTTAACAGAGAACTGCAAAAATCGATGATTGTGTGGTGGACACAATAACTCAGTTAAGATTTGAGGTCAAACACAAAATCAAAATAGGCTTAGTTTCTGTATACCAACATCTAACGAAAATACGTAGTCGTTTTTAAAAATACAAATTTTTCACAAAATTGTATGGATTTGAATAAAAAGATTCGTAATCATATGCGATCATATCGGAATTTTTAGTAACACTCTTCAAATTAACATTCTGTAAGATTAGGTTATTCAACTCAACCTTATTTTTGATTTACCATAAATTCAATAAGTGGGAACTGTTCCCCCCACTCTATTTTTTGAACAGGTCACTGACCTGACGTGCAAGAGTCAGTTTGGGACTACGCTTCAACTGCTGCGGATGTTCTTATTTTTTATTAAGTATGGTATTAAGTGTTCTTTTCTCGCCATCATTTAATTGTTTGTATTTCCATATTTAATTGTTATATTTCTTTTGTATTGCTGCACTGTTGGGAGTTTCTGCCCTTCATTGTTGGTTATGCTTTTATTTATTTATCATTTTATGTTCCACACTGTCGCTGTCGTGAGATTCTGCCCTTCAGTGTTATATTATAATCTGTAACTAATTTAGTTAAACGTGTTTAATCATTCTTGAACATTTATTTAGCAATTATTTCCGTTGTGCCACGCTGTCGTGGGACTCTACCCTTCAGTGTAGAATGAGAATAATTAATTTTAATCTATTCCCTTTAATTCATTAAATGAATGATCATCAATTTTTAATTTTTGTTGTATACACAGAGAAAAACTGAACTCAAAATGAGTCGAAAAAGTGACTCATTATGAGCTGCAACAAAAATGAACCTCGCAGATGGCGCCGCGTTCTATGTCATTTAACATGGACTCATTTTGAGTTGCAACAAAAATGAGTCCAAGTTTTTTCTGTGTAGTGCGTAGGTTTTAAGTTCGTAAATCTTAAATCTTTATAGCAAAATACATGAGAAATTTTTTTGACAATTCAACTGAATTGTCATAGTTATTATCGTATCAAGGGCGCAAAATAGGTGATTGCGGCGATGGCGAGATGAAGGGACCGAGGGGACATTTTCGCGCCCGAGGCGAAGCCGAGGGTGCGAAAGTGTCCCCGAGGTCCCGAAGTCTCGCCGAAGTCGTAATCACCTTTGCGCCCATGTTGCGAACATAATTTTTTGTCCTAACTGCATGAAAAGTATGGCATTGAGAGCACGAGCGAAGCGGGCGCAAAAGTACTTTTGCGCCCGCTTGTGTGACGTCAGCGGGCGTAAAAGAACTTTTGCGCCCGCTTTCCCGACCCCGGGCGAGAATCAGTTACTTTGCGCCCACTTTAAGTGCCCGAAATGACATACTTTTCGTGCAGGTAGGACAAAAAAAAAATTTCTGTATTGTACCTGAATCCGGTACTAAAGTCAGAATTGTCAATCTTATAAAACCATGAACTTAAATAGAAGACAATTTATCTTTTTTCAGATTATTCTCAAATAATTATTAAAAACATTTATTCTTGAAAAATTGAGGAATCTTGGCAAAAGAATCGAATTCAACTTGAACCTTGAAAAATGTCAAAAGCAATAAACTTGCAGGCAAACTTGAACACAGAGGGCGTCATTTTTAGGAATTAATGACGACGACGTCGACGTTTTGTGCCAGAAAAGAGATTTTATTATCAGACCCGATTACGAGGAGGCGTTTCCGGCTCGATAGTACCACTATTGAGATGGTTCTTCTTGTTGTTGTTGTTGTTGCTTTCGGGTTTCTCTCTTACTACGAGAGAAGATTCGAATCCATAGAAGGGTCTCAGTGCAAAAGGGGGGTTATTGAAAGTACTCTTGAGTTTACCGTGCTGGAAATGGGCTGGTATATGCTCGCACAGTATAATGGGAAAGGCAACAGATGTGTACGTTGTAGTAGTAGTTTCGCGATGAAACTATCGTCGTCGTGTCCTAACAGTGGAATGAGATGAGGACTTTAGAATTGGTTTTGAGGGGGGTGAGAATGGGAGGAGGAAACTAGGATACTTGCTAGCGACCAATGACATAAACTTACCATATAGTGTAAACGACTATAACACAAGATCGTACCATGCTGGACCAAATGTTTGTTACTCTCTCCGGTAACGACTTGTCGTAATTCTTATTTCCATACTGCTATCCTCATATAAAATTGTCTATTGTTTCCGGAAACTATTTCGACTTTTCCGTTTCTCGTATTGTAAAAATTATTGCAAATGTCTCGAGACTTTTTGCATTCGAAGGATTTTTGTTCGAGAAAACTTCGAATTGAAATCTGACTTTTATCCTCGACGTATTATCAATTTCCGTTTGATCCTGAGTTGATAATGAGAAAATTGAAGTCGTTCGATTTAATCCTCTGCTGTTGCTAACAACCATTAGGGTCGAATTGGATTTTGGATACCTGATGTAAAGGTCTGTGGAGATCTCTATAAAATCTTATGTTTTAGATAAGAATTGCGATCTCTATTCCTCTCGTTGTTTTTAAAGTCAAGATCTGGACCACTGTTAATAATTTATCTTGAGTTGAGTATATTTGAGGCGACAGGAGCATTTGAGGAAAGAAATTCATTAATAAATTTTAGTGTTAGACACCACCATTAAAATTGTCATGATTGGGAGTCTATGACAGATGCACCGAAAGACAATGTCCTTCTGGTAGTAAATTACAAAAAGAAAATCGTTTAGATACAGATTAGTCCGGGTCAGGTGATTTTCCCAAAGGATCATTAAAAACCATCTTAATTTTCTCTAATTCTAAAAAAGCTCTATTCTAATCCTTCTAAAGTAGGATTCCCTCTTTTAAAACTTAAGGAGCATTTGAGGAAAGAAATCAATGAATAATATTAAGTGTGTGACCATTATAAATATAATTCAATCTAGAATTGCGAAGATGAATGTAAACTCCAGATTCGGTGAGTTCCTCAAAGGATCATTAAAAACCTTCTGTTAGAAACCTCTTCAAGACGAGTACCAACCAAAAGGATTTAGAATTGACAAAACCCCCCAGACAAATTTCTTCTCTTTCAAGTTCGAACCGAACGGTCATTTCCTGACTCAATTTACATGAAACGATACCATATTTTATTAGCCAAAAAGTGAAATCTTATTAGGATCGACTCCCTGCATTTGATGAAAGTCAAATTCACTGAACTGAGATCATCAGCCTTAAGACTTTCTCTATTTTCCATTAGATTTCATCCTCTCGTATAAACGAACCACTAGTCTCGTGTATAGGTCGATTTCAAACGACTTTTTGAAATTAAACCAATGGAAAATCCACAAATTTAACGTTCTCCCTTTCTCTTTCACAAGGATTATAGGACCCTTGACTGATGAGATCGTATGATTTGCTAATTGCCCGCGTCTCCTTGCATCTATCCGTTCATGTTCGCGACATCATCAAACACCATTTTATATATATTTTTGACCGTTTTATATCCATGATGCTTGCATATGGGAAAGAAAAAAGGATTTAAAAAAAATTTTTTGCTGAATATCAGTTGAAAAGGGATTTATAGCAGTTCCTTTGAGCGATTTTCTTCTAGGTCAGCAATTTTTACTTTTATGAATTTGTCATCGTTCTATTTCAAGATTACTGCGTATGTACATAAATTCAAATGCAAAAATTGGTTGCACTTAAAAAAAATTCCATGAATTTATAAAATTGAATTCTTGAAGAATTTCCAGTAGCTGAGTGAATTTAATTACAGTATTGAATAATATTATCCAATCAACAGATTTAAAAAATTCGTTAAGGTTCTCTCGGATTTTTTTTTTTTTGGTATTAATAGCTGATCAGATGCGCGTTCATAATTGGTCGTATTCAGTGAAACTGAAGTTCGACCGCGGATGTGTTGGGCCGCATCTCATTGCGGTACAATTGCAAATGGCGAAGGCAACGAAATCGATAACTACCTCTCTCTCTCTCTCTCTCTCTTTGCTCCATTTCACAATCTTTGGTAAAGAATTTATTTGCAAATTTTTTTTTTACTTCATTAAATTTAATGAGCGAGGTTTAGAGGAAAAAAAAGTGGTACAAAATAATTTTTTTCAACTTCAGCTAATTAAAAAATGTGGAAAATTTTTCTAACAAATCGATAAAGTATTAAAAAGAAAATTGAGACGTTATTAAATTTTCACATTAAGCAAATGTTACTTTAAGGAAACGTTACTTTGATCCATATCGTCAAACGTGATTTGATTAAGGTAACTTGCAATTTGGAGTCTCGCATGAAAACGACAGGAAACTTGGAGAAAAGGGATTTTCCAAGTTCTAAGAAACGATGATCAGTGGAGTTGATAAAATGAATAAAGAACCTTTTGCGTCGTCTTTCATCACTTTTCATCAAAGCTGATTAGTTTTAGCACTTCACTTGATTTATGTTGGAGTTTCTAATTGTGAATCTCTAACATATTGATATTGGAAAATTTTAATTAAAAGAATTTGATTTCGAATTCAATTAACGGAAATTTTTTTTATATTTTTAGAAGACTTGCACCGCTGTCGATAATGCATTTTAAGGAAAGAAATTCATTAATAAATTTTAGTGTGAGTCACCACCTTTTAAAATTGTCATTTGGGAGGTGCACCAAAACCGTCGTGTATTTATCTAAACTGAAGTACATTTTGATATTTCTAGTCAAAAAAATGTTCAGATAAATTCAAAAATATCTTAAATTTCCAAAAATCCACGGAGGTTTAAGTTCCTTTTTCTTTATTAGAAAAATTTTTAAGAAAAGAGCTTTAGGAACAGGGTTTATAGGTAGGGTAAGTGGGGTCCTTCTTGAAGTAGGATTTAAAGAAAATTTTCATTGATGATAAAAAATTCCGCATTGTAGAGTTATAAGGAGACTAGAATTTAGGATAATGTGAATATCTGAAAGCACTTACCTGATGATTCCATACCTTTGGCTTTGGACTTCCACTACCGGATGAGGATATCGTTCCAGGTGAATTACTCGATTTAACGGATGATTTATTGATCTTCTGATTCGTTCCATTTCCATTTGATGAAGTTGAATTGTGTTGTTGTGTTGGCGAATGCTGTTGCTGTTGCGCCTGTTGTTGCTGCTGTTGGGTTTGCTGCATAATTTGTTGAATAAGTTCAAGTTGTTGTTTTGTGAGACCATCGTTATTGGCACCAGGAGCTGTTGCACTCTGCAATCATAAAAAGAAAAAAACAATCGTTAAAATTTCTCATCTTTGCTGAAATTTTAACAACATTTTTTTTTAATTTTTCGAATGATTTATAAAATTCATTCAACTGAGAAAAAAATACGAATATTCGAACAACATCGAAACGTTTTGGAAATAATGGGATCGTAAAACGTTGAGATAATTAGTTTTACCCAATATAATGATTATCTCCGGAAAGTTCGATGCGTTACAAACGCGGATTGAACTGTAGATTAAAATTAGATTTGTTAATTACAATTCGGAAATGCACATCTACATAAGTTTTTGGAATAATGCCAAATCCAAATCATGGTTTATTAAATTTGTAAATTTCCCCAACATTAACTCCTAGTGGGGAAAATTAAATATAATTTCAAAAATAGAAAATTTCCAGTAGGATATTTAAATAACTTTTTTGCCTACAGTTTAAAAAAATATAGGTTTATAATGCAGAGAGTCAGAGACTGCACTTTTTTTTACCTTGACGCAAAAAAAAAACTCTGATCTATTTTCGATCAAAGCATTTTCCCTTCTCATTTCTAAAGTTTGACTTTAACTTCAACGAATTTCGAACAAATCGCTTCTTCAATCGATCCTCAACTCGAATCTGTTTGATTTCGCCGTTCCATTCGCTTTATTCCCGAATCCGTTTCTATACATAGAGAGAGAAGAGACTTTCTTGTATTTGCGAAAGCAAGAGGATTCCAAAAGGGAAAACGTATGTTTTATTTATATACGATTCCTTACGAATTGCCGGCAGACACACACACACAGACACATAAAGAAAAGAATTATTCTTCTCTAAAGAAAACACATTTACGAATCATTATTAAAAGCAAGAAAGAATGGAAAGTTTTTAAGGGTTGGAAGCAGGATTTTTCTTTTTTTGTAAAGAATTCAATGAAAGGACGATTTTTTTATATTGATGTTGCAGCGTTAGATGGGAGGAGTTTGAAAGCCACGCTTATTAACTTTATATTGGTGAACGTCTAAAAAGGGGCGTGGATAAATTAATATCATTTGGGGAAAGAAATTTATTATTTTCGGTACTTAATTGACATTTTCAGGGCGTGGCTAAATTTAAATGCCAACCTCTTTAAAATTGGTTACCTAATTAATAATTTTGGAGGCGTGGTCAAATAGAAACGCCTTTCACTTTGCATTCGGTTACTTAATTGACATTTTAAGGGCGTGGCTAAGTTTAAATACTACCTACATTTGATTTGCTTGCCAAATTCATAATTTAGAATACGTTCTTTAATAAAAACACCATCTACTTTAGGTTCGGATACCTAATTAATAATTTTGGGGGCGTGGCTAAACCTAGACACTGCCAAATTTAAATTCGGTTACCTGATTAATAATTTTGAGGGCGGGGCTAAACTTAGACACTACCCATTTTAAATTCGATTATCCAATTAATAATTTGGGGGCGTGGCTAAATTTAGACACTACCCTTCTTAAATTCGATTAACCAATTAATAATGTTGGGGGCGTGGCGTAACTTAGACACACCCCTTTTGTGATAGGGGAGTGCCTTTTAAAGGCGTGGTTAAATTTGGACACGCCCCTTTTGTAATGGTCACTCTTTTTAGAGGCGTTTATAGACACTTTCCGTTTTAAAACAATTATCAAAGCATCTTAACTTACTGTAAAATTGACAACTGTAAAATTTAACAATATTGAGGCAATGTTGTCACTATTTTACTTTCGACTTTAAACTGTTGTTTATTAATAGTCACACGTGGGCGTGGTCAATATAATCCCGCACACACTGTGTTTCTATTATTTGTCAATGAATTTGTTACAAGGTACAACGATTAATTTTACCGAAGAGGCGTGTGGTCAAAGCTGACACCTATTAATCTAAAATGGGCGTATACTTTACTTATACAAAATGCGAGCGTATTTAATTTCTTTCCACTACCCTCTGTTTTTTTAAACAATTAATTTTCTTGCAGATTACCATAAAAGAAATTAGTATTATTTTTCATTTCTATTATTTCCTCACTTTTCTCATGTTTTATAAACTTTTTTGCCACCTTGGAATTTTTTTTTTTTGTGTGAAAAAAGAGAAAGTTTTGAAGGGTTCTTATACTTTTAATTCGCTTATATTTGCGCACGTTAGACGGAAACTGGCTTTAGCTTATTACTATAGGAAAGCAGGTGGTAAGATATCTTTCTCTCTTTTTCTCTCATTTTCTTAGGGTACGTCAATTTTCATTTAAAAGTTAACTTACCCCCTCTCCTCTTTCCCCCACCACTTTCTTTTTCACTGTTAGATATCTGTAACAGCGTTGCTTTTCATCTTATTCAACATTATGCGGAAAAGTCCCTTACCTCTTGTGGAAAGTTACACTACGAGTAAATTTATCCGGTGTAACTTTTCTTCCATTAAAAATATTTTTGTCAAACAAAACAAAAAAAAAGAAAAATTGTTACTTGATATTTTTTTATCTCTTGTTTTTACATTCTTATTTTTGTTATATTAAATGTATGTGATAATTTTAATTCTAGTATAAAGAGTAAATAATTTTTTTTATGAAATTCTAAAATAATTGTTATTAATAATAATAATAATAATAATAATAATAATAATAATAATAATAATAATAATAATAAAAGAATTAGCTATGGTGTTTTATGACTTGAAATAATTCATTAAAATTTACTGCTTACGTTTTAGTTCCATTGATTATACACCTTGAACGTAAATTATCAGATGAACTTATATTACCAACACATTTGCAAAGTATAATTATAGCTAAAATAGTTATACATTTGCATTTACACGTCAGCGAAAATTCCAATTTCCGCCGCGGTTGCCATTCATTTCCATTTATTGGCATTCACTTGTTAATGAAAACGAATGGCGACGAACTTTTATTAACGATTTAATTACTTTTTTTCTCAAAAGATTTCTCTGTACTATTCTCGCTCTTGAAATGAAAAAGTTGAAATTTTTTTTTATTCGCAACAAAAAAAAAAATACCTAGAAGCGCGGAGAAATTTTAGATTTGCTATTTCGTAGTTTTGTTTGGAAAAAAAGTAATTTTTTTTTGCAAATAAACTTTAAAGGATGTTTTCTCCGTCTCTAATTACAAATATAGCGATGAAATTTTAAATATATAAAATAGTGTAAAAATCTGATGAGTTTTTAAAAATCCAATATGGCGTATTTAAGATGGCGGATGTTTCATTAAAAAATAGTTTTACTTTCTTTCTAAATTAACTTTTGATACTTTTTTATTATTTTTTTTTTAATCTTAAATTTTTTTTATTGTAAACATTTTTTTAATCTAAAAATTTCTTTAATATTTCTTTAAATAAAATGTTGTTTAAAGAAAATTTTTTTTTGGATTCGAATTAATAAAATTGAAAAAAGAAGAAAAATCTAAATTGTTCGCCACAATTTGAACGCGTACAAGAGTCAGAAATTCGATAACTAGCTGGAGTAGTGTGACCTAATCGAGTAGTTACACTAGAAAGTTTACGAACGACGGTCGATTATTATAGAAGCGATATTGCAATTAAACTGTGTTGGTTTCAAGTTTAATCGGAGCTTTCTCGTTTACGAACTTTCTACTCGATAAGAGCTTTCGATTTTATTTTTCAAGTATTTGAACCCTAATTTATTTTTCCTTTTTATTTTTTTTTTGTTTCAAATTTTATAGAGTTGGTCCAATTTCATTTTTCCGCATTGGGAGAAAAAAGAATATTTTTCAATAAAGTTTGAAATTTTGTTAAGAATTCGAGAAAAATGGTGACCGAATGTTTCTCTCTCTCTCTCTCTCTCTCTCTCTCTCTCTCTCTCTGCTACTGGCACTTGACTGAGTATTTCTCGTAACGAATTTCCATTAATGCCATCAATCGGAATTGCCACCTCTGCTTTATTAAACGGTACAATACACACACTCACTTGCAGTTTTGTAGCTGACGGTGACATTTTTAGTGAGTTCAGAAAAAAAAGTTTAATTAAATAATTAAAAACTGAAGGGATTTTTTTTCAATTTTATTAACAAAATTATCATTTCTAAATACTTTTTTTTCATTATTGAGAGAAAAAAACTTTGCCTTAGGGCTCGAGTCAGTAAAAGTATTTAAAAATTCGGCCCCTGCATAGTTCGCCATAGTTCGCCCATAACAAAAATAATAAAAATAATGAGAATAAAAAAAAGAAAAATATGAAAAGAATAGCGTTTTATTCTTTCCATACTTTGCCTATGGTTTTAAAAATTCTTGAGTGAAAAATTCTTTTTTTCATTGATCATGAAATTTTTGAAAATGAAAGAGTTACGCGTGAGGGAGGTCATTAATCAAATAACCATCTCTTTGGTCCTACATCCTAGTCGGACAAATCAAACTCGGTTGATCGAAACCTGTTCTAGTTACAAATCAAAGTCAGAGCTTCATTAGAGGGTGGATGTAGACAAAAGCGACGCGAAAGAGACAGGAATATACATAGAGAGACTAGAGAGGCGGATGAAATCTCTGGTGGTATTAGGTTAAACTAGGTACAACTATCAGTAAAACTAGTACTGGCCTGTACTATCAATGAAGAGACAAGGTCGATCAGTAACATGAAATTAGGAGAGATCTCCCAACGTACATTGCTGTGTCTCACTCACACTCAAATATTAATTTATAGTCTCCATTCAATGCACTACATGGCTAATTTCAAATCAAAATATGATGTTCCCAATAATGTGAAATCAATATTTGATGATGTTTATTTGAAAATAAATAAAATTTATTTTTCTCTATCTCATTTCTTTCTCTACCTAAACTTATGCTTTATTGTGTATCAGCCTTTAACTTTCAAGTGCATCACTTGTTAACAACCCAACCTTGCTAGATATCAATATTTTTGTTAACTACCCCCACCTTGTTGGCCTTTACACTATCAGGGTTGGGCAGTTGAATCGAAGTTCGTTGCGCGCCATCTGTTGATAGCGTCACTGAACTATTTTGTTAACAATCCA